ACGCTATAACAAAAGCTATAATTCACAACGAACGACTCAATCGTCAATCTCTGTCTGCAGTTCCATTACATTGTTGCCGTCACTTCTTGGCGGCCTTATATATACAAGAATACCGCAAATCTAGTAAACACTCGAGGATTCACGAACCTCCGAGAATATGACGTGTTACTAGTGTCACGTGACCCCCGCTGTCGTAACAGTACTTACATTAACTCGCTCATCGCAAACCCTCGATAAGATATCAAGGGAGTTCCAAACTGGAAAGAAAACTTTATATTGTTTGTAAATTTGTGAAACTTCTGTTTATAAATCATTGTTTCTAATAATTGTTATTGTAAATTGTATTGTTGTGTGTATATTAAAACTTATTTGGGTTAAAAAAGAAAATTGTGTGTATCAATCTTGTTGGCAAATATCGTATATTGACTAAAATATCGGCATATATTTAAATACTAAATCCAAAGTACAATTTAACTACTAAATTTAAATTATCTGCTCGGCTTCGGACTATTGGAAATCCTAATACGTAACACTGGGTATAGTTTGTCCACAAATAGTTAAGGCTATTTCAAGAATAAAACACTTATAACATTTTAAGGGTATGATACCTAGAAATATAGAATCACTTGTCATCTATAAATTTACATTTCCTACTTGTAGGAGGGATATATGGCAGTTCACTGGTATGAAAAACATATTTCTGGAAAATTCGAAAATCATCAAGCATAGTTCGACATGATTTAACGGAGTGTAGCATTGCTATCACTACTGAATATTTTGTGATAGTTACTCAGCGGAAGAGAAAGAGCAATGAAGAATTCGTGTTAACTTAACAATTACAAAATTAACTCTGTACTTCCTCGACGACACCACTTCTTTTGAGGATGTAATTTTTTAATTTATGTTTATTCTTTGAACTTTGCCTTACCTGTTAACTCGCTTATAATATAACAAAGTATTCCTTATATTTAAAGAAGATTCCAAAAGGTTAATCCTTAGTTGTTTTTTGTCTAATGCACCCTTACCAGAACATCTTAAATATTTCCTGGTTATTCTTTTTTTCATTCCATTCAGTTAGATTTGCCAAAAATATTAATTAGTCTTAATCAGATGTTATTTTGCCTAGCCTATAATTAGTAACGATAAGGTGTGTTTTTTAAACTCCCTAGCCTATAATTAGTAACGATAAGGAGTGTTTTTTAAACTCCCTAGCCTATAAATAGTAAGGATAAGGTTTTTTTAAACTTCTTAGACTATAATTACCAATGATAAGGGGTGTTTTTTTTGGAACTCCCTAGCCTATAATTACTAATAATAATGGGTGTTCTTTTTTAATTCCCTAGTATATAATTACTAATGATAAGCGGTGTTTCTTAACTCCCTTGCCTATAATTACTAATGATAAGCGGTGTTTTTTAAACTCCCTAGCCTATAATCACTAATGATAAGGGGGTGTTTTTTTTAAACTCAGAGTTAATATCCAATCTATAAGCGATAGTTTTTATGGCGTAAGTTAGAGAAAATGCCGAAGCTCTTGCAAGTAAATTACAAGGAAATGATTAAAATCGTTCTACAGGAAGGAGAATAACGTGGTTAATGTTTCAGCTAAATCATCTATTAATTCTGTATCAATCCACACGAAGGTCGTTTGGCTGAAACGATGATATATGTAATATTAGAACTTAAGATATCTGATCGTTGATTTATATCCTACTTATCTATGCTGTCATCACAATGCTAATTACTTAAGATATTCAATATTAGTATGATGTGACACTCATTTTAATCAATATAACAAGTTATCAATTTGATATTAACGTAATTATGAATTCGATATAAATATTTTTGCCGCTGTGATATTTCAGGTTAATTGTTGCTTCTAAGTGTAGCGTAATTATGGATATCCACAATTTTAGAAATGAATGACTCTTTCGAAGATTTTATACTCTTATAAAGGACTTTATTAGCAACAAACAAAACCCTAATTTGTGAAACCATTTAACAGAGCTATGAAGGTGAATACACACTTTTGGTAAATTAAATACAAACGAACCAAATGCTTGAATAGAATGTTTTTCAAGTTTGTACTATCAATCATTTAGCATTATTTTTAATCAACTATTTCATAATATTGCGTGAAAACACCGCTATCGCATACACAATATTTCAATATAATTTTTCACTTCAACAAAACATTTTTAGAGGCGCTAAAACTATACAGTGTTTTCAAAGAAAGTTATTTTTTGTTTCAATCCCGATGATGGTGCGAATTCCTCTGGGTTTAGAATACAAAATTCTGTAAGCAAAACCACAATATTGCTGCTTCTGTGATGATAATATAATATTCAAGTGAATTATTATGGATACAAACATCAAATATAAGGTGTATTAAATCACATTCTGTAATATAATTTCTTATAGATTGCTATTAAATAGTATGAAATATCTTTTGAAATATACAATTTAGTTAACATGTATAATTAATAGTTTTAAATTTACATAATACATGTATCGAAAATATGGAAGTTATGCTTTGCTTATACAGTAATATTTCTATTATGGTACTTTAAGAGGATTACCGTTTCACCATTTAGTGGCATTTTTAATCTGTACACTCTTAGATGTCGTTCATTAAATATTTTCTTATCAGACATACTTAATTCAATAGTTTTTCTCCTCTTTCAAGCAGCATTATTTTCACACCTTATAAACAACTAAGGATGAACAACTAATTTATCATAACACCCCCTTACACTACTACATAAATATAAATAATTTCTATCTAATACATTCCTAGTTGTTTACGAGACCACAAGCAGTTCCAAACTAAGACGCCGATGACTAAAGCTCCTCTTTTTATTAATGAAGTTGGACATGATACGTCTTTATTTTACGTAATACAAATCACTGAACTTATTTATCCAATTCTTCACAACACACGTGTTGAAATGAAATGAAACACTATTATTACAAAATATAGAAAACCAAAAAATGCTTTATGTCCACTTTCAAACACCATTTAAATATATATTATCATTATATAACTGAATAAGAAATATAGTTATTAAAGCTATGTTTACTCCAAATTCTATTTCAATAATCATACAGTGACGTTTACATTTTAGGTTCATGCAAAGTAATTTACTTAACTGATGAGATATAATTAGTTTTTACGAAGTTTCAATAACAGTGCCAGCGTCAACCATTAGCAAGTCAATTGACTACTAGTGTCCTCGCACTAGAGAGTTCAAATTTGCATTTATTAATATTTTAAATGTTTTGTAAAGGTACGAAATATATGATGCTTAATTCCTTAAAATAAGAGTAAGGCACCTAATTTAAGCTTTATTTTAAAGAAAATATATTTGAGGGGGCAAGACCCTTCAAGCCTCCACTTTAGTATTACCCTACTGCTTGGAGCCTCACGCCTGTTAAGGCCAGCACTATTCGAGAAGCCTGTTTGAATACAATTTAAAACTCGTTGAAAAGGCTTAAAGCCTTCCATTGCTAATCAACAATAAATTACACAAAATAAAAATACCGACTTTCTCATATGGCTTATTAAAATAAATTTCTAAAGGCTGCTTTTTTCACAACAATGTACTCACAAATGTTTAAGATAAATGTATAACAAAATTATAACACACCAAACAACAAGTGCATTAGAATGTCCATTATATGTTTAGGTAATTCAAAATTCTTCATCTTTGGTTGTTGTTGTTTTATCTGTCTTTATTGAACGCCATCTATTTTTTGTCTTCCTATGTGAAATGCAAATATCAGTTTTCCAATATTCAAAACACTATGTTGCCTAGAAATCCGAGATGCAAGGAAAAATCTTCTATAATGCTCTATTTGATTTCGTTTATTTATGCTTCAAATGGAACGATTGTAAAATGTTCAAATTACCAATGACAACACCGAAGTTCCCATACGGCAGTAGGGTTTGCTAAATGAACGGCTAACGCGTTAGCTTCATCCTCCAAACGCCGTTCACCTATATAAACAAAATATAATTAGTTGGCTAATATGGAATGTAATACTGTAGATTAATAATCTAAGTAATTTTTGTAAAGTCTAATTTCTCATAACATAGTTACAGAGAAAGAGAAGAAAATAGTTTATCTGGTCTTCCTGACGTTTGACGGAGTCGAGTCCTATAGTTCAGAAAATGTGTTATCATATTCTATTTCCATACAAAATACATAAAGAGAAGGAACTTCATGTATCTCCGTCCATAATTTATCAGTGATAGACTATAAGAAAGAAAACACCACCCTCCTCCAACTCTTGGGCTACTTTTTAACCAACGAATAATGGGATTGACCGTCACATTATAACGCCCCCACGACTAAAAGGACGAACATGTTCGGTGACGAGGATTCGAACCCGCAACCCTCAGATTGCGAGTTGAGCGCCTTAACCACTAGGCCATGCTAGGACTTGTTTGTTTATTTGTTTTGAATTTCGCGCAAAGTTACACGAGAGTTATCTGTGCTAGCCGTCTCTGATTTAGCAGTGTAAGACTAGAGGGAAGGCAGCTAGTCATCACCACCCACCGCCAACTCTTGGGCTACTCTTTTACAACGAATAGTGGGATTGACCGTTCCATTATAACGCTCCTACGGCTGAAAGGGCGAGTATGTTTGGTGGGACGGGGATTCGAACCCGCGACCCGCAGATTGCGAGTCGAGCGCCCTAACCACCTGGCCATGCCAGGACTTTTGACGTACAAATATATAGATTATTTTTTAAAACAAAGGAAACGCAGTTTTTATCTTTTATGAAGAAAACAAAAAAGTTCCATTAGTTTGTAGTTCTCTGTTATGTATTGGTTTTTATCTGCTGTACGTAAAACACTTAACAAAATATCGTGCTACTCTATGTATACAAAGGGTTGAAAACATTATATTAAAACAATTTTTAATCGGCAAATCATGTGTAAGCTCATGGTGGAATGTAGCATAGCTATATTTTGACATTGTTTAGGCATTTCGTAAGAAGTGTAATGCCGCTGAAAATGGGTCGCTTTTGAGATGAGTATGTAACAGTCCTTCCCGATGTAAAATACTCATAAATCAGACCATAAAGATATCTTAAGGTCGGGAATTTAAAATTTACAAGATGTGGATATCTCTTGTACTTAATGGCATTGGAAAACAAGGGAATGTAGATCAACTTGAAGCCCCAGGACAAACTAGAAAGCGAGCTGCAACAAGTCTTACCCCAGCCGTGGTAAGCAAAGTGTGGCGTCTTGTAACAGGTGAGAATCCATGAACACAAAGGTAAGGGGCAAAAGCTGTCTACGTGACTCGGGCAACAATATGCAGCATAATCAAGAAGGATCTCTGTCTCGAAGAGCAACACAAGTCACGTGTACATGAATTACTTCCACGTCATATCCATTCAGCTGTCGCACACCTCGAGCATCTAAAGAATGAAACGAGGATTCACGACATTCCATATGAAGACACAAAAGTTGCATTGCCAGATGCAGCGCCTACGGATTTCTGAGTGATCAGACAGTTGAAATGTACACTAGATGAATTAATGAAAGCATGCAGGAAGGAGTGGTGTGCTTTGGACAACTTTTCGACAGAGCTTTTCCAATGAAGCTTACGCCACAGGAGTATTGTCACCATGCACGGTTATCGGACATAGCATACCCGGATGGGACACCATGGGCTGTAATGACGTAGTGAAGTTCAAAAATGGTGAGAACCGATGCTCTGGACTAAAGATTAACAATTTACCCTTAAAATATTAATAAAACGTTGCATAAAAATTACATCTAAAAATAATTTCATATTTCACATTGAATTTTTTAACCCCTGAACATTCCTGGAAATTAAATTATTCACAACAAAGCCTTCAATGTTGTTGTTTCTACAATTAACATATCCTTATTCTTGACTAATTAACTTCAAATTTTATACTTTATTGTTTGTTAATTTTTAAGAGACAAAGTTGGATGTAAGAAAGCTTCAAGTTAGACCTTTTTTTTGCAATCTGGTCTTATTTATCCAAAGGATAGTGAAATTGGTTCAACAAATTTTCTGCCGGTATGCAATGACCATAAAATGGTGATAAATGACTATGTACAGTCAAAGTCTGTTAACTACAGGTGTTAAGTTTTAAAAGTATACAACCATTTTTACCTTACTGCGAAATTTAATCCACGAATTATCATAGTTTCAAGTATGAAATATTTACATAGAAAATACTGAAATGTCAGTGGACAGAATAATAAAAATTTAAAGACACCTACAACTTTTGTCGAAATCATAAAAATTCTAATAATTTTGAAAATAAACGACATGAATTAGATAATTTGATTCAGTTGGACATTATAAAAATGTTGTTTCTTGTAAATATGAGAAGTTTAAATAATCACAAGTCATGATAAACGATTGTCTTGGGTTAGTACAACGCTTCAATTATTATTTCTGGTATTTGTATGTAAATAATAACAAATTAATAAGGTTAAAATTACCACATTTAGATTTAGTTAAAACGTATTTTGTGTATACAGAAACATTCATGATTGGACTTTATGCAAATAATTGTGAAATTATTGAACTTACCGATGTTACCGCCAACTTCATGTAAGGAATGTGTCTGGAGAAAAGTGTCCACATCTGTTGTTAATTGCAAACATTTCTGGCTGGGTTTTAACACAGGTACAATATCAGGCACAGACCTGTGACAAACAAAACATATATGTAATTCAGAACATACGGTAAATCAGTAACTTGTCCAGTTCTATAAAAACTATTGCTCTCGAAAATAAAACGGAACTACGATAACGAATTGTAATTTCAAAATCTGAAAAATCGTCATATAGTTAATAACAAAAATTGCAAAATTAAAATACCTTTTTTAGACATCATTAATTCATTTAAGTGTATAACGAGTATTAGTTTATAATGCGTAATTACACAAGGTTTGATAAATTTCATGATAAAAATTTTATCTAACATGAGTCCTGACTTTAACATTAGTATTGATCTACTATACAACTAATTTTGATGTTAAAATACGATAATTTATAAAGAATAGCTTAACAATAGGCTAGCTAAATATTCTTAATTTTTGAATTATTATTTTTTCTCACCTTCGGGATGATCGTCCCTTATTAGCAAGATCCTGAGGATGAAAATTTATACCTAAAAGTTTAGCCACCTGGTGGAGAACATCACTGACCATGGTGCACTCGCTTACAGAAATAAGAACTGGCTGGGAAGTAAATTGCCAGGCATTAACTGTTATTTCAGCCTTGTCCGGATTCCCCTGAATGTCAAACAAATTAGAATATGAATCTAACAAATTTATTTAATATACAGATTATATTCCATTTGAAATAACAAAGCCCGAAAAGTTTTCTTGTCCTATTGTTTGAGTAATTGTGTTTCTTTATTTCATGAAAGATTTTGAAAGCTTGCGATAGACGAATATAATGTGTAGTTAGTCTAAAAGTATATTTTTAATTGAGTTGACCCATATTTGAATGACAGTAAAACTTTTCCTTCTCTGTATTCGAGTCCCCGGCTTCGAAATCAGGGAAATAACTTCTTAATAGTGACAATCATAAACTTTTGAGATAAATCAATTTTTGATAGTACAGAAAATGTGAAACTTCTGAAACTTTATGACACTTAAGACGTTATTAGATTCTGTTGGCCTTGAAAAATCCCTTCATCTAGCTCCATGAATCACGATACACAATACACTTGAAAATGCCATTTTGTTCATGAAAATGATTTTTCAGACCCTGTTTGTGTCGCAATATGATGACCACAAGGCAATGAAATTAGCCACACAGAAAAAAACATTTTCCATAGATTGTAAAATTTGGTGCATGCACCTAGGCAATTTGCCTGTCACACAGCAAGTGCCTAAAAGTTGCATCTTTCAGTTAACTTGTGTTAAACTGTTATAGTTTCACACATAAGATTGAAATGAAAAGAAAATCAAACATTGTATTGAAGGATGTCATTATAAAGTGTTTACAGATCATGAAAGGTTGTTCAAAACCATATTTCTATATGAAAATACTTTGTATACTCAAAGAGAGTCGCTATTAAACTAGGTAAATACGAGAAAGAGAGACGACTTTCAAGTGAATCTGAGAATTCACATTTTCTAATTAAGTTCTTCAAGATCTCCTACATCTAAGTCGCACTGGTTAAGTTTAATTTCGACTGCCGTTATATCAACATTGTTACAATTTTTGCATCTATACAGATCGGTGCACGATATATTCATAGCACTACAAGAACACCTTCCACCCTCACACTTTGACTGCTTACAGTTGCATTTTACAGCCTGCAAAGCACTATCCGGAGCTGAGTCTCATATCATCCATACAAAAATACTTCGTTTCCCTCCATCTTCCAACCATTTCCAACAAGTGAAGGTGCCAATATTTTTTCTCAAAGAGCGTCTCAGAATGGCCACTTGGTAATTAGCTCTATGAGCATGCTGAAGAAAAGCATCTGAAGTTGGCGATATACTGTACTCTAAAGGAGATGAGGAAGCCGAACAGAAGACCTTATATTGGGCCTCGTTCACGTCTGATTATGACGACGGCCCTTAGAGATGGCAGAAATTCCTCCAATAGGAAAACTTTCGACATTTGGTCATGAATTTAGATACAAGCTTCCTGAAGGAGGAAATGAAATTCGGATGTTCCAATACGAGCTCAAGTGACTTCTTTCCTCTCCCATAGATAGAATTTGTTGAACCACCATCTGGTTTCACAAATTTCGGGTCAGAGAATCCAAATAACTTTCTGAAAATCAATAATTCGGGCTCGATTTTGTAGTTTACATCACAAACTTTTCTCACAATTCGAGTCAAAAACCTTGTATAGTGGACCTCAAGTGCAATCATTTTCTTGATGAGGATGCTTTCATCATTTTTCATCTTATCTCGGCTGCTTTGATAGACCCCCTGCAAAATAAAATAATTATGTCACAGTCCTTCAGTTTTAAAAAAAGTATATTCATTATAGCAGACTAGGACATTGAAGGATATCTATATGCAGATATTATCCATTAAATACTTGTTCAGTTCCATTTATTTGAGTATGATTTACAGCAATAATAAATATCACAGAATAAATGGATATAAGTAGATAGCGCCATTAATACAGCTTACTGCCAAAATCAGAATTTTTGTGGAATTACAAAGATAGAAAGGGAAGTCCAGCTAAAATTTCAAAATGCCAGAAAAAATCACTCGTGAAGTAATAGCACCAATGATAATAATAATGTTACACCAATATTTTTCAACAAAACCCCCAGGAAATATTTATGTAGTCCTCAGGGGAGCGAATAAGTAATTCCTTCCTTTATCTCTTAAAACATAAAGTGAAATATGAAACGAAAACTAATTAACTTAAAACATAATAGTATTTCGAAACATAAATATTTGTAAAGATCTTTGAAATGTTGTATAATTTATGAAAAGAAGCACCAATTAAACAATTTTACCGTAAAAAAATACATTTTGGGAAGCTTTTAAAGAGGGGTCATGGGACAAATACAGTTTTAAACGATCGGTAATTACAGACATACACACAGTTGTAGATGAAACTCATGTTTGTTTGTTTTTCATATGAGACAACAGTATGCAATAATATATTTAGTTTAACGAATATTGTTTATTAAACTATACTTATCTATAAAGTAGGTAGCTCACCTGCGGTTACAGATTCAGCTTGGACTGGTCTGCCTTTAATATTGTTGTGGCTGGAAGTCACTTTCATCTTCTTACAAATTATGTAAAATAATTTTGAAGGCATGCTGCAGTTGTCTTTTTGATGATAATACCGTTTTAGTACGACCCCCCCCCTCCCCCTCCGACGCCGTACGCAATAATGATCGTACTTTACTACAATGTGCTGTT